ACCAGACAGACCCCCATAGATCAGCTTAAGAAGAAAGCAGTTAACCCCCCTCCCAGGGGTTAAAAGGAGCCCTAGCCCACTCCCCAGGGCAGCTCTTTGAGCCACCCACTCGAAATTTCTCTTCTCTTTCCTTCCCTAATAAATCTTTTCTAGTGGGCTGGAGTCTTGGCTCTGAATTTTTTTCTTAACCAGAACTCAAGTACTGAGGTTGCTGAACCCAGGCCCGGTCTGACCCCACCGGTCAGACACCTGGTGCTGTTCCCGCCACCTACAACACTGGGGGTTCGGGACATGGACAACCATTTGGGGTCCACCATTCGCCCCAAACAGCCACCAAGAAATGCTGTCCGTTTGGCCCCATGGACACACATACCGCCCCTCCCCCCTGTGACAGGGCATTTTAAGGTTGGTTGTGAAATGATGGGAAGCTGAGACCCAGAACTGATACCATGACACACACGGCCCTCTGCAGGGCCACCCGCCCGTCACAGACGTTCACCTTGGGGCCCAGCGGCTGCCGGCTGCTGACCGGACACTTACAGCACACAGGCCAGATAGGCTGCTGGGGGCCCACACGTGTGACACACAGAAAATCTGCTGTGCTGGCTCTGGAGCTCTATCTGGAAGCTTCCGCTGAGTATGAATGTGCCCACTGCCTCTCCCTTCTCGCTCTGGACTTTGCTTATCCCAGCACCCTGGGAGGATGTCTCCCTCCACGGGCGGGCATCGGGGGCGGGCGGTGCTCAGCAGCAGGAAATCCTGATGTGTGCGTTTCTCTTCCTGGGCTTCCGGCCTCAAAGCCGGAATGTTTCAGGGCCCGGTAGTGACAAGACACGGCCAGTGATAGTGGCCTGGGCCCTGCCTTTGGGGTAACCCCTAGCCAAGGCTCCCTGTTAGAACAGAACAAGTCATGGTTACCTCTGACTGGAAGGGCCTTACCTCACGCTGACTCAGCAAATGAGGAAGGGCCCAGGGCTGTCTGCGAGGCCGGGGACCCCACTGTCGCCCCATGCCAGGAACACTGACCAGCTGGGGGAAGACACAAGTCCAGCCCCCAGAAGCCCCACAGCCACAAGGTGTAGAGTGCCCTTGTGGGGCAGGCACATAATGGGCTCCCCATAGTAATTCAGGGACACCGTAGGGGCCATCCTGGAGAGGCAATCTCAGGCTGGGGACCCTGGCCTGGCGAGGTGCACCTGGGGTGGGGCGCTCCAGCCCTGCAGGGGTCCCCAGACCAAGGAGCGTCCAGTTGGCAGCAGGAGGGCTTGTCTCTGCAGGCCTCCTCACTCCACCGGGCAGTCCCTGCCCTCTTATGTCCTCTAGTGCCCTCTGCAGACAGGCAGGGGAAAGAAAAACAGTGTGGGGTGGGCCAGACCACGACTCAAAGCTCAGAGCCTGGACCTCTGCCTGGGCACGACCCTTGGCAGGGTGGGCTGCTCCATAAGCAAGAGGGTCTGGACAAGGGGCCTGTAGTCAGATTTAAGTTAAATTTAAATAATTAGGATTTATTGATGTTATAAATTCAAAGCCTAATTTCTTCACCTGTTAAGTTCAATTTTATGAACCCTGTATTATTCCCTTTAAAAGCCTAGCAGATTTCAAAGTCATTTTCAAAAATATGTTTTTATTGATTTCAGAGAGAGAAAGGGAGAGGGAGAGAGAAACATAGACGAGCGCAGAGAAACACTGACCGGCTGTCTCCTGCACGCCCCCTACTGGAGATCAAGCCTGCAACCCTGCCATGTGCCCTGACCCGGGATAAAACCACGACCTCCTGGTTCATAGGTTGGCCCTCGACCACTGAGACACACCAGCAGGGCTAAAGTCATTTTTAAGGGGCCTCTGCATAATATTTGGCCCCATCTAAAAAACGCAATAAGTTAAGCATTTTCAACATTTCGAACTGCATTTATAAATTAGGTACCTTTTACTTTCTTCTAAAGTACTTCGGCTTGTCGAAACTGACCACAAAATCTCGGCGCTTGAAGAATTCACACACTCGGTAGATTAAACTTTTAAGTGTGGCAAACCCCGAGTTGTCTTAAATGTTCCAGAAACATGAAATACCAATGTGTTCAGGTTTCACTTCATTCAGCAAATGCTGACACTTTGGTTCTGATTCTCTTCAACCTTTCCATGCCTCATTCTAGATCTACCTGTGGCTGCACTGGCTTGTTGGACATTGTCTCATGCATTCAGAGGTCACTGGCTTGATTCCCCATGAGGGCACAGGCTGGGTTTCAGGCTGGATCCCCAGTAGGAGGCGTGCAGGAGGCAGCTGATCAATGACTCTCTCATTATTGATGTTTCTATCTCTCCCTCTCCCTCTCCCTCCCGCTCTCTCTAAAAACAAACAAACAAACAAACAAAAAAACATATTTAAAAAAATTAAATCTACCTGAGGCTGAAAAATGTGTACCCACTTAAAGAAGCCAGCTTTCAATTTGGGGCCCCTTGGCACCGGCCATGGCAGCTGGGAGGCTGACAGCTTTGTCAGGACCCCCAGAATTCTGCCCAGGGGGAGCTCTGCAGAGGGGCCTGGCGCTGGGCTCCCTGCCCTTCCTTCCCCCCACTCTTGGGGTCTGCGGTGCTGGCCCAGAGTGAGCCCTGAGGGGATTTTTCAGTTCTTTAGTTCCAAAGACACCTGAAGTCAATGGGATTCTAAGGTGACTAGATGCCCTTCTCAATGAGAGACTTGTGGTCTTGCTGTGGTCTCCTTGGCTTTTCTGGGGCTGCACAACTCTCAGGACATCTGGCACAATATCGGGGCCCTCTCCAGAGCTCTGCCTAACTTGGGATCCATACCCCAAAGGTCAGGCCTCAGGGCCCAGCCGGGTGCCCAGGACACAGAGCTGCCCAGGGACACCCGACAGTTGGTACATGACATGCGTCGACCGGCACACACACGAGCCCCAACCGTGCTCTGGGAAGCCTGGCGGGAAATGTGGGAAAGAGAAAGAAAATACATGGGCAGGAAGAAAGAACCAAATTCAAGGTCAAGGAGAAGCCTCTGAGCCGCAGAAAGAGGAAAACAGCTGAGCAGAGGCTGCTGGGGCAGGTGCAGGGCCAGGGGCAGGGCCAGGGCCAGGGCCAGGGGCAGGGGCAGGGGCAGGATGGGGACCAGCTGCTGTGCGGTTTTCTGCACAAAACTGCTGGGAACGGCTAGGGATGGGTGGCAAGCTCTGCCCGCTGGTGTCGGGGGATGAAAACTGCTGGCCACATCCATGTTCCTCTCTCTCAGAAAAGCAATGGAAAAAATATCCTCGGTGAGAGTTAAAAAAAAATTTTTAAATAACAACAAAGGCTGCTGGCCACGTATGCGCTGGGACCATCCCCAGGCCCCACTCCTCCGGCTGGCGCTGCGGTGCAGAGGCTCCGTCGGAACCTGCAAGAGGTGCCCGTTCCCGGAGGCGAGCACAGAGGCAGCCGTGGGTCTCGGGCACACGGGGTTCCGTGTCCCTGCTGCAGACAGCGCGTGGGCACCGCTAGCCTGCGGGTGGTGGCCGAGGCCCGGGGGAGATGTGGGGGTGGAGCAGGGGGGCGAGGCTGGGGAGGCCCCAGAGGGGTGGGAGGAAAGCCTGGCGAGGCGACTCCCGCGTCCCAGAGAGGAGACGTGGGAGCCGGGGAGACCGGTCCCCGCGCCCACGCGCCCAC